TGGTGAAGCATGCTAGTGTGATTGATTGATTCATTCATTCTTTGGTTGACAGGTTGTTGAGTTGGTTTGTGGGTTGGTTGGTTGATTGATAGATAGACTGGGTGATTGATTGAGTGATTGAAAAATGGTTTGGTTTGTTGATTGATTGGTTGATGATTGGTTGATTGGTTGTTGAGTTGATTTGTTGGTTATTTGATGGATTGATTGATTGATTGATTGATTGATTGTTAAACTATTTAAGAGTTTGCGTGCGTATGTGTGAGAGAGATAGAAAGAGGGAGAGTGAGATAGATAGATAGATAGATAGATAGATAGATAGATAGATAGATAGATAGATAGACAGACAGACAGACAGAGAGAGAGAGAGAGAGAGAGAGAGAAAAAGAGAGAGAGAGAGAAAGAGACAGGAGAGGGACGAACTATAAAACAAACAAGATCTGATACTCACCAAAAGGTGACTCTCGTGGCCTAGAGGTTACGGTGTTTGCCTCTTATTCAAAGGTCCTGGGTTCGAATCCGGGTAGCAACGGAAATGTTTCTTCCCTAAAGTTGTCTACTATCACCTTCTTTCCTTTTGTCTAGCAAAGTTTTATCGTCTGCTTTCGTCTCCGCTTTCTGCCCCCACCCCCCTCACCTCCTTTGCTCCCTCCTCTGGGCTCCTGACTCTTTCCGCAGCCTTTGTACTGGTACTCCTTGGCTCCTTCTTACTACTGTCGTTCAGCCACAGCCGTGATCTTCTGGTAGGAAAGATCTACACTTAGCCTTCTCGGACAAGGGTGGAAAATCTCGGAGGTCCCTTGTGCAATTTGCGCCACGTGGGTGGTTTGCGGGTGTTCTGGTGTGGTTTGCTTCTTCCTTCCTATCGAGCATCTATCGTCTTTATTTCTCCTCCTTTTTGTGTTTGTTATTCACTTGTAACACCTCTAATCTTCTACACTTATTTGACCTTATTGTGTTGCAAATGCCGTAAAACACTGTCTTACTACTAAGATCCCTTGGTGGTCTAAAATCGAAAAGAGTAAAACAAAAAACTCACAAGAAAGGCGTGGGCTGGCAGAATGAGGAAGACGTTGGGATAGTTGAAGCTACAAATGGTGTGAGAGGCGGCGAGGATGAGGAAGACAGGGTCCCACAGCAGTGTCCAGTCAAACAGGGACCTCACGCGGGCCAGGTATCTGTGTGTGAGTGAGTCGTTGATCGTCTGTGAGAGCTGCTCACTGTGGGCAGTTGGCGGGTGGTTCCGGGAGGATGTGAGCGTGTTGGTTTTTGGTCGAGAATAAAAGCTGGCTGGTCTGTGGAAGTAGAAAGGAATATGACAAAGTGAGGTAGCGTGGTGAAATCAGGCGCTCGTTAAAATAAGGAATTTGATGGAACCTACATTTTTCCGCCGGTGTGGCAATTCTAATCAATTTTTTGCTTTTTGGCTCACATCTTTTATGCCCATTAAAAACATTTTCTGTGTGGATTGTACAGAAAAACGTTGACAGAAGGCACATGAAGGGTGCATTTTCAGTTTCTAAGGACTCCTAGACTATGGATGTCACCAAACTTTGGCGGCCATTTTCTCGCTAATTTTGATCTCTGAATGAAACTAGGGAACACCCACTTCATTCAATAGAGAATATCTCAACGTCTGTGCAAGATAGAAGGACATTTATTTTCCGTCCAAAGAAAGACAAATGAACTAGCGTCAAGATGACGTCAGCATCTCCTTACACCCAAAAAAATCTACTTCTTTTGTATGTTTGTCACTCTCTTGTGACCCGCTATTT